ACATAGTACCAGTGTGCTGCAGTGCTGAAGGTTCAAACCCCAATGATAATGCTCTGTGTGTGTTAACAATTGTATTTAATAGACTTTTAGTTTAGTTTTTACATTCTTAAAAAAACCACCTAGGAAATTACACTCAGACAGTGTAAACTGTTCAAAGAATGTTATTTCGGTTGCAAAGTCAAACACTCAGAAGTTGGGAAATGCCAGATCTGCAGTTTTCTATTCAATTTTAATTTGTCCCCCGTGTGCATGCATTATGGTATGGTCTTTAATTACATGATCACATCTTATCTTACGCACAGGACCCCTGCCTCATTCGGTGCACAGACTGGATGTTACGTGGGCTAGTGTAAATCTGGCTGTAAACACGTGTCCTGAGGGCAGCCCTGCAAGTGGCCACCACCTCAGTTTCCATCTTAATTCCTCAGATAAACTCAGTTCAGCCTTCAAAGTATTTCAATAGCCCTTTTTGCGGGGTTTCCTTCTTACCAGAATCCCCCCAGTGCAGCCCAAACAGTCCATTCGTCCCAACAGTCCAGCACCAAGTCCAGCTCCAGTATCTCTACCACGCCCCAGCGCCCAGGTGCAGCTCTGGCTGCTCTCCCCACACCCTAGCTTCCAGGTCTGGCTCCAGTGTCTCTCACCACACCTCACCACAGACCCTCTAGCTTGGGTGTTTCTCCACCCTGTTTCCTTGCCAGGCAGGGCTCCATCTCTTGCCTGGAGACATCAGTGGACACACCCCTGCATCACTCTCCAGCCTTTAGCCATCTGAGTTCAGGTCTCTGGTTCAGAGAGCCAGCAGGCACCTTCCTCTGCTGTTCTCAGCCTTCAGCCCTCTCTAGGCTCTCTGGCCTGTGGAAGTTTGTAGGTGACCCCCTGCCTGCCTGTCTGCAGCTTTCACCAGCCTGCTCTTGCTCCTTCAGGGACAGCCCCCCTGAAAGCTCGGTGCCCAGCTCTGCTCTGCCTCTGAGCTCCCGTTACTCTCTGGGTTCTCTTCCTTTCTGCTCTGGGCCCTCAACTCTCCCTCTCAGGGCAGGTCTACACTACCGCTTACGTCAATATCACTTACATCACTCAGGGGCGTAAAAAAGCCAGCCCCCGAGTGACGTAAGTTACAGCGACCTCAGCAGAGAGGGCTCTCTCGTCGGCATAGAGCATCTTCCGCAGACGCGCTGCAGTGGCATTGGAGCAGCTGCGCCGA